TGCCGGAGGTTTCTGCCCGTTTAAAGGCAGTTTTTCCTCCCTACTGTCACCTAGTGCTTGCTCAGAGGGGATTGTTGGGCTTTTCTCTCCTCTGCCTTTTTTCTTCATTTACTTGTTTAACTTTTTTCATTATTACTTTGTTTTACCTTGTTTCTTTATTTACTTGCTTGTTTAACTTTTTTTTTCAACTTATCTAAAAAATAAACCAATTGAATTTATCCTTTGAGTATTTTTCATCTCATCTTTACAGAATTTTTCCAAAACATTTTCAAACATTCAGATCTGTCTTTTATTTTCTTCTTGAAACCTCATAAATGGTGAACTAAAAACCCCGGAATATGGTTTGAAACATTGTTTCAGCTGAAACTGGCATAACATGCTTGAGTGAGAGTGAGTGTGTGTGTGTGTGTGTGTGTGTGTGTGTGTGTGTGTGTGTGTGTGTGTGTGTGTGTGTGTGTGTGAGAGACAGGTGACAGAGTATCACTAGTTAGGTCATCATGTTTAGGCTCATTCACTCCAAAATGATTTAGGCTAAATCTTTAAAACAGTGTCATTGCATACACATTTTCAATTCACTCCAATCGCACAAATGCAGAAATAATTATTTGCGGTATCTTATTTATTATGAGATTATGTCATGACTGATCATTTGCACCCACACCACCAAAAATGGGAGCAAAAGCGAGGAGATCATGTTTAATCGGTTATAAGAAAAGGTCAGAAATATAAGTGCCAACATGAGCAGTGTCCACAGAAACCTCTGAATCTCAGCTCAAAGCTCAAATAAACCATTTCTACAACCACCAAACAAAGCAAAGACACCAAACAGTTAAAAGAGCAGTGACGTCACCATGAATCTGTGGTCAGGTAATATCCATATTTTGATTGATGATTTTCTGGAGTTAAATGTGAGCCGAAGCATATTTTCAAAGGTGTTATATGCTATAAAATACTTTTAAATAAAATAATCTCTAATTAATTAAAATCTCATTTTTCTATGTTTGAGTCACAGTAACTTCACTGGGCTCACATTTTACTGATTCCATTCTTTACTCGCATGTTTTAAACGCTTAAAGCACTTTCACAGGTTTTTATATTCTTTTGAAAATTCATGTGAATTCAAGCTGTCAGAATTGTAATGTAAGCTTTGATAATTGTCCACATTTGTCATTTTGACGATTATCCGTTTATTTTAATAAATACAGCAAACAGAAAAAAACTAACAAATTAACAAACGCGGCTCCTAATAAGACAAAACCTGATGATGCTGCAAAACACAGTTAAGTGAGAGGAGGCTGTAAAATGGAATAACTGAAAAAGTGGCAGTGTACAGAAGTGGCGTTCCTCACCCTCTGGGTATCCGTAGAGGTTGTCAACAAAGTTGGAGATGGTGTAGTCGAACGCCGCAGCTGAGATGCCGTCGTTGTCCTCACTGTCGTCCACAAACTTCAGCCCCTCTCCCATGTTCGTTCCTATCAGGATGTCATAGTTTAGGATCTCCCCCTGGTGGAGAAAATAAGGAAGAACATGCTGAGTGCTGGAACAGAGCCTGTGTGCATCACAAGTCTACAACAGGAAGTGCAGCTGAAACACAGCTTTGGGAATTGGCAGCATTTCATTTCCCAGTAAACAAAAAAAAACATTAGCTGTTGGCTAAAATCCCTACTATAAACTGTAAATACTACAAATATGTGCAAAGAGCTGCAAGCTAATATATATACACATTGCAAACAATAAATACACAATAAATACACATTCCAAAATAAAAACACCTCTGCACATGAAGCGGAAACGTTTGCTCTTGCAGCGCTTCGCATCAACATGTATATGAGGTACTTTTGAGATTTGATCTGTGCATAGGTCAGAGATCCACAATCCAGCACGTTTCTGTTTCTCTGACCGCCAGGCTGCTGACCCGAGGTCACGTCAGAGCTTTATTTGTTATCTAAATGTAACAGACAGTTGGTAGCTCTCCTTCCACGCATTTCATACCACACACCAGGCAGACTTCTGGTTGGTTGACCAGAGTTTTTCAATGCCTGTCTGCATTAACACATCTCGAGAGGCATAGGTGCCAAAGAGCCGAATGTAGCAGCTGCAGCACGGCACACAGAGCAAATATTTTCATGGGGTAGTATCAGAAATAAGACCTTTGAATATGTAGTCCCTTTAACTTCTTTCCTTCTATTAAACCCTTTGACAAACAGCCATCCAGTGTCCTCTAACATGTGCTCTTATCATTTGTTCCTGATGCTCAGATACAATCCTGGACTCAACATATGTGGCTGTGTCTCTGTCCTTGCTATAGATATGTGTTAATGTGCAAAATAAGGTTAAAAAACGTAAGAAATAAATGCCCTCTGTTACATTTCATAGAAACCTTCATGGTTGAATGATTAAAAGCATAAGAAAAAAAATAACAATGTTAAAATAAAAAATATGAACACAATGAGAGTTAGATGAAGTTTTGATTCAAGAATAAGAATAAAAAAATGAACACATGGTTCCCTGTGATGCTGCTGAACACGAGTACTTCACTTCAGAGATTTCAGTCAACACTGGTGTGACAGCGAAGGGAGTCATGGGACTACATCGTAATCTGTCCTGTGGGCCATTTAAAAGCAGATTTGCTGGCTAACCACTGCCGTCAAAGCAAAACTAAAGAAACATTGCACCTTCATTCCTTTTTCCTTACGTTCTTCTAACCTTTTCACCGTGTTTTCTTTGAGTCTTAACAACAAGAGTGTAAAGTTAATAGCAGTAAATGTCAAGGCTTTCTGATTCTCAGTGAGATAGAGCGAGCTAGAGGAGCAGAGAGGAATGTGTTAAATGAGGGTTAACTAACACACTGATCCCAGAACAGACCGCATGTACAAATCAAGTTCTCTCTTTAGTTTGTTTTCATCCTCCTAGTCCTCCTCATCTCCTTGTAACACTGTTTTTATTCCTTGGGATGAAAAAGCAAAAAGGGGCCCGAATCTACTCCTGCAGGAACAATCGGTCATTGTTTGTTTTTTAAACTGCTGAGATATGAAGCGATCCTCGCTTGTTTGTCTCTAGTTAGTCTGCAGTTTTTATGTTAACACAAATGCATGAGTATTTTACTGACTCACTAACTGACACTGGCACTATCGGCGGTTTAGA